TCAGCTCGCGAATTTCTATAAAGTCCAGAAATTGCCAGTTGCAACTTGGTCTACAAGACACTAGAAAAAAACAAATCGAACTATGTTTCCCTTCCGCGAAACAAAACAAATTCAGGGATTTCGAGTGCTGCTACAAATGACAATACGCGGTTACACGCTGCGCAGTCTCACATTGATGATACGGATGACAGTGATTTTGATTTTCACGTAACACGAGCGGAGTTTCGTCGCTCCGTGAAGAAAATGGGGCCAACGGCCGAAGGTGGCAATGATGATACAACTTACGACTTTGACCACTTCATGGAAGTAACCTCAAGTAAGGCTTATTGATTTACTAATTTTACACTAGATTAAGATTTTACCATGGTAAGAATAATTTACAGGTCCACACTTTGAAGATGCAATAGCCTTATCCAACAATCGTGTAAATTCAACGCGCGGCAAGTGAAATTTTTGGGAAGAATCTAGCTACATAGGCAACCAAATCTTAAAATCAACTTTCAGGTTGCACGGTATCTCAACCATTGACTTTAAATCAAAATCCGGACAAGTTTTGCAACTCAGAACCCCAAAGCCGCGAATTTGAAATTTTAGGGCCGAAGTTCAAAAAGTTTTATAAGGCCATTAGTCTAAAATTAACATGAGTTTTCCTCTGACCCCGATCTTTCAACTGAATTTGGAATTTAAGAAAATACTGGGATTTTAGAACAAGTTTACAAACTTGAAACCTCGGCTTTAGCTCAAAACAGAATACAGGCTGGATGGTCTGAAGCCAGACTTTGAACTTGCTTGGACTTCAGTGATATGGAGCAGCGTTAGCCCAAAATCTGAGATTTTGGCACAGCCTGTTTCACAAATGAATCAAAAAGACGATATGAGAAACTAAAACTGTTTTTTTTATATTTTTCACGTCCAGTCAATCTGAACACGCAACAGCCTATAGCTGAAATATTCGTGAAACAAAATATTATCATTTTGTAGCTCATCAAAGCTACTGTCACAGTTTTTGAAAATATTGGTTGTAATGTGTCAACGTAAATTATTTTACTGTGGTTTATTTAATTTATATTTACTAGGTTTCCAGTAAATGTAGTTTTACAAACAGCTTCTTTACAAGCTGCGTCTTTTCTAGAATTAGCATGGAAGTGTGTTATGGAAAAGACGAAAATACGTAACTTTTTTAGGTTTTTTGTTTCAGTAATTTTGTTGATTTCGTTACTAAAATATTAGCAATTTACATTAGTTTTGGAGCAAAATTTTTGCTGGTGATATGAATTCGAGTTTAGGAAAATAATAAAGTCACTATTTTCGGAAATTCTACTCACTGAAAAGGTTTAAGCA